TTGTCATTGTCATTGTCATTGTCATTGTCATTGTCATTGTCATTGTCATTGTCAAATAAAACTAATGCTAATGTCTCTTCCTTTGCATTTACAGAGTAGAGAATTACTGACCAGTCTTATGATACCACCGAAAACTTTTCTTAACTTTATGACTACTCTGGAGGACCACTACGTCAAAGACAATCCGTTTCACAATTCGCTGCATGCCGCTGACGTGACACAGAGCACAAATGTGCTACTCAATACACCGGCATTGGAAGGTGTATTTACGCCCCTCGAGGTGGGCGGAGCGCTGTTCGCCGCTTGTATACACGATGTTGATCATCCTGGCTTAACCAATCAATTTTTGGTTAATTCAAGTAAGCAAAACAAATACATCTGTAAATAAATTTATTAATCATTATCATATTTCATTTTTCGTAGGTTCCGAACTAGCATTAATGTACAATGACGAATCTGTTTTGGAAAATCATCATTTAGCTGTTGCCTTCAAATTATTGCAAAATCAAGGATGTGATATATTCTGTAATATGCAAAAGTACGTAATTGCCTAAGATACTCGGCGTATTTTGGATATATTGAAGTAATTTGTGAATTTGATGGTTCTAGGAAACAACGCCAAACATTGAGGAAAATGGTTATTGATATTGTGCTCTCGACGGACATGTCCAAGCACATGAGCCTACTGGCCGATCTGAAAACTATGGTGGAGACCAAGAAAGTGGCCGGATCTGGAGTTCTGCTCCTGGACAACTACACAGATCGCATACAGGTAAGACAGTTCGAAATGAACATATATTAAAGGTACTCAGCTCACTCTCTCTCTCTCTCTCTTTCATTCTTTTCCGATAGGTACTTGAAAATCTGGTACACTGCGCTGATCTGAGCAATCCCACCAAGCCATTGCCGCTGTACAAGCGTTGGGTGGCGCTGCTTATGGAGGAGTTCTTTCTACAGGGCGATAAGGAACGTGAACATGGCATGGACATCAGTCCGATGTGCGATCGCCACAATGCAACCATTGAGAAGTCGCAAGTGGGCTTCATCGATTACATTGTGCATCCGCTGTGGGAGACATGGGCCGATCTGGTGCATCCAGATGCCCAAGATATACTCGATACGCTTGAAGAGAACAGAGACTACTATCAGAGCATGATACCGCCATCGCCGCCACCATCGGCCGCCGATGAAATGCCGCAGGACGAGAAGATACGCTTTCAGGTATATAGTACAAAAGAAACCGAATGGGATGATCCCCATCGTAAGCTCATCATGAAGCAATGCGATCAATACTAACGTTTCGATTACTCTCGGATAGGTAACGCTCGAAGAGTCCGATCAAGAGAATTTGGCCGAACTGGAGGAGTGTGATGAGAGCGAGAGCCGAGATGCCTGCTCCAGCACAACCACAGGGACAACGGCCCCAAGTGCGGCAGGAGGTGGCTCCGCTGGCGGTGGAAAGCCGTCTGGGAGTCAAAATCAGGCGCCACACGGTGGAATATGACGGAGAGTCGTGGGAATTTATCGCAAATTTACGGAAAAGGCGCATAGCTTCTTCCTAATACGTTAGTGACTATAATTAACAAAAAAAAAAAAGAAAACTTCAACCAAAAATTTAAGAAAATTAAAAAAAAAAAACAAAACAAAAAGCTAAAAAAAAAAAAAAAAAAAGAACAAAAAAAAACAAAAGATTAAGCAAATGTTTAAAGCATAAAACCAAATCAGCAATAGCTAAAGTACCGTTTAACTTCTAGAGAAAGAACGTAAAAGAAAACATAAAGAAAAAAAAAACATAGGAAATTAGAAATTTACTTACTGGAAAATAAGATCGATGTGGAATACACTGGAAACCAAAAAGCAAATTTAAAGAAAGCGAAAGTAAGAGAAAGAGAAAGAGCAGCATTAACATAACATTAATAAATATCTAATCCTAAAACCCCCCAAGACCCCCCAAGACAAGGCAAACGCGCAAACGAAAAGCAGAGCAAAGCAAGAGAAAGAAAAAAGAGAAGCTATCAACAGAATAATCCAAAAATCGGACATAAGCACAACCATAGACGTTTTTACTAATTCGATTCAATTAAATCTTTTGTGTTCTTTTAATACATTTTTAAAAGCAAACTCTAGTTTTACCAAAATCCAATTTCTGTTAAATTTAAGTCAACGGCTTGTTTTTTTTTTATCTATATATATAAATTACTTTTTATTATATTGACAAATCAAGGCCAGGAAGGCAACTCTAGAACAACAACAAAAAATAATAATAATAACAAAATTAATCTTAAGTTTTTTTTTTTTTTCGCTGGTTTTGATTTTTTTAAGAGAGAAAGAAAAAAGTTTGTTTGCATGCAAAAATTTACAATTTTAATTATTAATTACGATGATTGATTGATTGAAAATTATTTTATTAAGAGATGACAAAAGCAACACAAAACCAAACAAAATAGAAATATCAAACACTAATTGCAATTAGATCTATAAATGATATATATACTGTCAACCTTCCCCTAACCCGCCTAGACGAAAAAACAAAAAACAAAACAAAAATATTTGCAACCCAGTGAATTAAACAATATATGAAAACAAACACAAAAATTCAAATTGAAGCAAAAAATTAACAAAAAATAAATATATATATATATATTAAAAATAAAAATAATAAAAAGAAACATATGTACAGTCAGCAGCTTGGACTGCGGTTGTAAAGTACTATATACATAAACATGCTATATATACAAAGATATATGTATATATACATATATATACAAATATAATACTTTTTTTTTTTTAATATTTGTACATAATTTAAATGTTGGACTCGAATTTAAAATAAAGCAGCAATTGCTTGCAGCTAAATGAAAAAAAAAAAAAACAACAAAAAACATAAATGATAAATGATAAAAACAAAGCCAAATAGAAAATCACTCTTATTTAATTTGCTTAAAAAAAAAAAAAACACTTATAAATAAAAAGCAAAAAAAAGCGAACATATTTTTTACAAAAGTTAGTTTAAAAAAAAATGATTCTTGATTTTTTGTTGCTTCCAAGTAAAACGCTGTCTTCGCAAAATATTCTTATTTTAGTCGTAACAGTAACAGTAACAGTAACAGCAACAGAGTGAAACCTTAACATTAACAGAGCTGCTAACGGCGCCCTGTTCAAATTGAAACAAATTCGATCTGTGTATGTTAACGCAAAGAAATGCCACACGAATTTAAACACTTTGATTTGATTGACTTGAAAACTTGATCAACCTTTTGGGCCACAGTTGAAAGAAATATTAAACAAATATAAAGACTTAACAAGCACAAGCACTAGCAAATTCTTAACTTAAAAGCGAACAACCAAAAAAAAACAAGAAGCAAACTAAATGCAATTTAAAATTAAACAAAAAAGTCATTGGCTATATACTAGCATACAAATACAACTAAACATACATATGTGTACTTCTATATAAAGCAATCTGTGCTATATATGTATATATATAGATATATACTATATATATATATATAGTCACATGCTCACGCTGGTGCGTGATCGATCGAGAGAGTGTGGCAGGCCAAACTAAAAAGCGCATAATTTATTACGTTTATTGTTATTAATTTATTAATTTTTTTTTTTGTAATATATATATATGTATGTATTTATATATACATATGTATATATATATATATCTCTTAACCCACACACATACATGCATATATATACAACTGCGGTCACATAAATAGTACTGCTATTCAGCACTGAATGAGGAACAAAAAACTTAGGATTAAACTCAATGTTTCGAAAAGAGAAGGAAAAGAAAACCGAAGAAAGTAAATAACATTTGTATTTGTATTCATTGAATGTTGATATTAGGTTTATTACGATGCTTTTCTCTGTAGCATTTAGTGCTAACTTGGCGGTACTATTTTTATGAACGCAACTGTATATATATCTATATCTATTACAATTGTGTTTTAGCGGGCAGGATCCGTTAAATTGTGTTTTTTTTTTTAATATTTACATAATATTATACATATAAATATATATATATATATACATAAATGAAACAGAAAATATTTAAATGAATCAACCTTGATGGTCTAAAAATATCATTAAAATTATATACTATTATGCACTATTCAAAATACAAGAAAAAATATAAAATATATATATATAAATATACATATAAATACATGCATAAACAGCATAAAATGTATATTGTTTCAAATAAGCAAATTGTTGTAACTGAAGTGAAGAATTCAAAATACAAAAAAAAAAAAAATATTGTAAAACTGTTAGCAACAGCAACAACAACAACAACAACAAATACTTTACTAGCAATTTAAGCAGCATTGTAAATGTGCGCTTCAGATATTCAATGAAACCAAATAAACTAAATATATATACACATATATACATATACATATGTATATGAACAATAGTTGAAAGCAGGGCGCAGTCCATGGCAAAAACTGAAAGCTACTTTAACAATTGAGTGAAATGAAAAATTACAAATAAATGAAACAAAACAAACAAAAATCCAAATGACTTTTTTCTCGCAACCAAAAATGATCCAATGAAATGAAACAAGAAACATGAAAGCAGAGCTAACGGTTAATTATGCATATATATATGTACATACATACGTACATATATGTATGCATTGATATATTTGATGTCTTATTTAGTAATTGTAATTAAAAAAAAAAATAAAAAAAAAGAATTGGTTACTAATCCACACTCGATATAATATCTAGTATATATATAAAGTATTTCGAGGCACTTGAGTGTTAGAGCAAGCAGAGTTACTTACGTATGTATATGTAAACACACATACACTGGCAACACAGTTATATATATTTATATACATGCATATATACATATATTTAGCTGTAATTGACAGTGTATTTATCTACTAAAACAAATATGTGTATAGGTATATGCATATACATATATACGTATTATGTATACAGTTACTAATATATAGCCGTATGTTGTACGTGTATTGTGTGTCACTGTAATTCATGAATTTAATATATACATAGAGTTAGCTCTCTTGACTATTGTATACCCCTCCCTCACTTTCATATATTTCGACATAATAGTTCAGGTCTACGCAGCAACTATCTACAACTTCGATATATATATATATATATATATATATATATATATATATATATATATATATATATAAATATATAATAAAAAAAGAAAAATACTTTTTTTTAAGAAATTTTTTTTGTGAATTGCAAGATAAAAGAAAAATTAAATAAAAAATAATATAAAAAGATTTATATATATATAAATATATATAGATGTATACATAGAATAATATTAATATACACATATATATTATATATATGATGAAAGAGAAAAGTCAAGCAGAAGAAGAGAGTATCAAAGAGAATCAAAGATATATATACATACATATATATCTGGCAGACAAGGCAAGTAGTTTTGTACTTAAATGAAATGTAAAACACCAAAAAATGCAAATACAAAACTCAAAAGAAAACAAAAATGATATAGAAAATAAATAAAATGTGCGCAGGCGACGGTTGTTAAGAATTAAAAACTAAAAAAAAAATTATAATAATAATTGAAATGTGGCAAAAGTTGAAAATCTTAAGAAAGGGCAAAAGAATCTAGCAGAGATATGAAATATGATATGTATAAAGTATTATATATATATAAACATGCATATATATATATATATATATATATGCAACAATATATATATGTATCTATATATACAGTGTAACGCTGGCGTTACATGGATGCAGTTAGAATTTTTTTTTTTTTTTGAAATTTATACAATTAAATACAAGAGAACTCAAGTCACACACACACACACACACACACACTGACATAAGTGAGAAGTCGAAAAACGAAGCAGAAAAGTCGGCTTCAGCGCAAATAGTTAAAGCAAAAGGTATGTGAGGCAAACTAACTAAAAAGTACGCTCGAAGTTATAGAAACGAATTGAAACGTCAAAATAGCCAAGTATAAAAAAAAGAAAAGAAAAAAATAACAACATAACAAACGAGTTTAAATCCAACAAGAAAAAGAAAAATGCATTGCAAATATTATATATGAGAAAATACATAAGAAAATACATTTACGAATAAAGCAAAAACTAAAATTGAAAAATATGAATTAATTGCAAAATGAAATGAAACGTCAAGAAAAATTGAATCCATTGAATTACATCAGGCCTATGTATGTATATATACATATATACAAATTAAATGAAATCAATGGGCTATCCCTATTATATACAGGACACCCTCTAAGTTTACTGTTTTTTTTTTCTGTTTTTTTTTTGTCGTGTATCGCGTCGTCTCTGTCTCTCGTATATAATCCATAAATTGTACATATATATAGTAATATATGTATGTATATACATGTATGTATTTAAGCATATACACGCACACATATATACATATATCTAGCTATGTATGTGAAGTAAGCATTAACATTTATGAAATGAATTCTACCCAAATAAGAAAAGTCAAATTGGAAAGCAAAAGCAAAAGCAAAAAAAACTCCATGTAAAACAAGTGAAAATTTATTCAGTTCGCAGAGATGAGTTACATAAGTTCCCAAGGCATATATATGTATGTATGTATGTGTATGTATGTATATAAATATATGTATATATATATATGTACTGTAAAAGCCATGTAAATGGCATGCCAAACATACATACATACATACCATGTATATGACAAGAGCGTTCTCTATACATATATAAGTATATACATACATATATACACACATACATATACATATATACAATAAATATATATATATATATATATATATGTGCAGAAACTTTAATGATAACAAAATGAAGAGAGAAATAAATAAATCTAAATGAAATGAAATTACTCTAGTTACTTTTGCAGCTGGGGTATGCTGGACGCGTAAGGGCATATAGCGTAAGGATATATGACGTAAGAGTATATTACTTAAGCATATATTAGCGGGCAATTATTTAGCAATGGGATATAACCGTATATACATATACGTAAAATAATGTGACGGTATACATATGACGTAAGGATATGCGTGTTTAACGTATGAGTATTTAATGTAAGGCCATGCAATTGTTGAACTTGCTTTCTCAGCTTGGTGGGCACATTTGAATGTGAGGCTATACATATTACGTAAGGATATGCATTGACGTATAAGTATATAACGTAAGGCCATGCATATGTTTAACTTGCTTTCCCAGCTTGGTGGGCACATTTGAATGTGAGGCTATACATATTACGTAAGGATATAGGTATATATAGTAAGGCCATGCATATGTTTAACTTGCTTTCCCAGCTTGGTGGGTACATAAGGATATTCATTGTGAGATTACGTAAGGGTATACATTAACGTATGAGTATATAACGTAAGGGAAGATCACATAAAGGTATATTACGAAATTGCTTAACTATTGCAGTATGTCATATTAGCGTAAGCTATATTACGTAAGAATATATTAACGTAAGAGCACATACGTAAGGGTATATTTTAAAAAGGCACGTTACGTTGAAAGTCTATCGAATTATATATTGACCGAAGGATATATGGATGATTCCAAATATTGTCAAAAAAAGCTCTAATAATAAAGGAACCATAAATGATTGTTCAGTCATATATATTTAGAGATCAAGGCATTTGCATATAATGGAAACATTCAATGGAAGAGGTCTGCTCTTAAGTATTTAGTCATAAGTAGTCAACTATCTAAATCCAGCTCTCACTTAATCTATGCATATTTACCAGAACCTTAGCTCTCTAAGGGATAAAATGAGGTGCTTTGAATCGCAAGTTGAAGAAATGCAGAAAGAGATGTATGTATATGGAAATACAAGTTCGTAATCAATTTCTCAATTAAAACCTAAACACAACTACGTATAATACAAAGACTAAATATATGTATTGAATTTTAATAATTATGTTTATTTTTAAATAGTTCTTGTGTTTTCTTTTATCATTATTGGTATTATAATTATAATTATGTGTATATAATTTTTCCACTATAATTTTCATTTAATTATGATGTTTGTATGTTGCTTAATTAATCATTTAAAATAAATTCATTAACAATTCGTTTTAACAAATTAGGAGTTTGTTTTGTTTTTTTTTTTTTTTCAGCTTAACACTGACCAAGAGAAAAAAGAGAAATTAAAAAAAAAAAAAAAATTCCATATATATTTATCTTTATATATATATGTGTGTCTATGTATCTATTTGTTTGCCTCTTGTTCCGGTTTGTTCTGTTAGTTCGTTTTAGTTTTTCAAACTCATTTTACTTTGGTATAATACGTGCGATCTCTATTTTAAGTTGTTTATATTCACTTTTGTTTTCCGCTTTTTCTTTTGTTTTGTTTTCTTCGAGTGGAATTGCTTGTGGTATCAACGTAGCTACGTTTTAGGTTTAGTCTCTTCGTTTAAAAAATTCACTTGGTAATTGTAAATTATATGCATTACTTTATCGATTCAAATTGTTTGTTTGGTAATTGCAGAAGATAATCAGCGAAGCGTTTGCTTTTCATTTCTTAATCGTTCTTACTTTGTGCTAATTTCTAGAGAAATGCAAAAAGAGTTTGGTCAATGCGCTGAGCTGTAAATTGTAAGCGATTTTCTTTCTAATGTATACAAAAATTTAAGAAGAAGAACAAATTCTAATTTAGGATTCTTTTTGTTGTTTTCATTTTCGATTTGGTTTCAAGTTGTCTTCACGAAATTTGGTTAACTGGAAACTCTGCGGCTACCTTAAAAACGTAAATTTTTGGTGGTTGGCTGCCCACGAAGAGGCAAATGATTGTGTGTGTGTGTGTGTGTGTATGCTTTTGTATAGAGGGAAAGTCTATATAAGTATTATATAAATATATCTATATATATATATATATAGTCATATATATATATATATACACATATATGTATACATATGTGAAATGTGCAAAATTGAACACGCGAAGTTTAGACATCGATGACGCTGTCGTTCTTCTTCATCTCCATGAGATGCGTCTGCTTGAGCTTCTCCTGCATTTGCGTGAGCATGTCCTGCATGCGCCGGATCTCCTCGTCCTTCTGCAGCAGCAGGCGATCCGTTTCCGAAATGGCCGCATCGAACCCGTTCGTTGAGCTGATCGAGTCGCGCTTCAATTTGCCGCGCTCACGCAGCGCATGCTGCGATATCTGTGAGATGCACTGCGCCCGAAAGTTCTCGTAGTGCACATCCTGTGGAGGTAAGCAGAATGCATTTGACGCTCTCGGAGCTCTCATGGCTGACTCATTGACTCACCTGTGTGGTGTCCTTGAGGTCCTGCATGTGCGTCGATATGAGGAAGGTGCGCAGCTTGATGAAGTCACTATGCTCCGCATCCTCCACATTGACCACGCCCCACGGATACTGACGGCCGCGCACCTTCTTGCCAGCCACCTCCAGTATGGTGTTGCTGCCGACAACGGCAAACGGTATGGACGCCTTGAGCTCGCGGTCCTGCTGCTTGAAGTCGTCGTCCTCGTCGGAATCGCACTCGGGAAACTGATACAGCTGTATGTGATTGTCCTCGAGATCCTGCAGGATGCGCTCCTTCAGGTTGCGCACCTCCGTCTTGTTCAGGCAGTCCGCCTTGCCAATCACCAACACAATGTTCACCTTTCGATGCAGTCGCCGTATCAAGTCCAGGTCCATCTGCCGCAGGCTGAAGCCGAAAAAAGAGAATTGAATTGGGATTGGGATTGGGATACGGATTCGTGTGGTGAATTCCTGCACTCACCTGTGCCCCCAGGGCGGCACAAAGTACAAGCAGCAATGCACGCGATTGTCCTGGATGTTGCGGCGATTCAGGCCGCTCTCGTCGGTGAAATACTGCCGGAACTGTTCGTCAATGTACTGGGTGCAGACGCGCCAGCTATCCTCGCAGTTGATCGCATCCCCAAAGCCGGGCGTATCCACCACGGTTAGGCGCAAGCGCACGCCCCGCTCCTCGATGTCCATGGTCTTCTTTTCGATCCGTGTCGTCTTCTCGATGCGCTCCTCCACATTGGGCACCGTCCGATTCTTGTACAGATCGCCCAGAAACAGGCTGTTGATGAGCGTCGACTTGCCCAGGCCCGATTCGCCCACAACCATCAGCGTGAACTCGAAGCCGCGCTTCACCGACTTCCGATGCACCTGCTCCGGCAGCGTGGCGAACCCAATGTAGTCCCGATCCTTATCAAATGACGGTGTCTTTGCTGCGTTAAAGAAGAAGAAGAAGAGTTGGTTACGTACACATGGGTATGAGTGTGAAGTGAAGTGAAGTGCTTAATCCTTGCCAGAGGCACGTGCAGCCAGCAGCAGCAGCTCCATTTGCTCATTAGTGCGAAACAAATGAAATTGCTCGCCCGCTTAGCTCAAGTGCCAGCACACAAGCTACTTCACAATATGCAATGCACTCGCCCCCCCCTCCCACTCCGTTTTTTACCACCTGCCCGTGCATCAATGTGTGTTCGTGTGTGTGTGTGTGTGTGTGTGTTATTTACTTACACATGGCGCTGTGTGTGTTGATTTGTGGCTCGTTGCCTGGCTCGTCGTGTATGTATATATCCAAATGCGCCGCCTATTTCAGTATCTAATGGGCCTTGCCTTTTTCTTGGCACTGAAGAGTTTAATTTTATGCTTAAGTTTACTTTCGTTTTGTTTATTGAAAATGCCAAGAAGCAAATCCAAAAAAAAACAAAATACGAAATCCCCGAGATTTTGAACACTTTATTGTTGTTGTTGTTGTTGTATATTGTTTTTGTTATTTATTCTGTTCGTTTATTTCTATTTTTTCCAGCTTGTATTGTGATATTGCCTTTTCCCGTGGCTGGAGCAGCTTCAGCACGACTCAAGTCACGGAGCTGAACAGAGCGGCGCACTGGCCCAAGCAAAACATGCCCCAAAAACAAGAATAACAGAAGCTTCTCAAGGCAGGACAGCAACAAAAAGCACGCGAAAAGAACAGCCCATGAAACTTTAATGAGCCCACTTTAATGCGCTCTCTCTCTCTCTCTTTCGCTCTCCCTCTCTCTGGCTCTCTCGCTGGCCTTTCCTGGCTAACGGTAAGCTGACCGGCTCTCTCTCTCGCTCTGTGTGTGGCTCTCCTTGCGCCTGCGTCCAACGCCTGCTGCTGGGTGGATGGGTGGGCGTCCCGTGTCCATGCGAATCTATGCCACTTGGTAGTTGCAACTAGTTTAGATTTGGGGGTTGCAATCCTCTCGGCGTTACCAGATGATGTAAACACTGCTCATTGCTCGTTTAACATATATATATTACTCGATATTGGCAGTTATCGATCTAGCAGTTATCGATTCACGTTATGCATATGCAAAACGGGAATTATCGATAAATAATGCTTAGGCATATGAATTTGGAGAGCTTATGGGGGCTATCGAGCGTTATCGAATATACAACTGGTTAAAAAATGAAAACTATCGATAGCTGACGGATAAATGTGTGCAGGTATAAGTTAAGCATTATATAGTTTTTGTAGTTATCGAAGAGTATCGATTGTTAAGATAAAAATCGATAACTACTGATGGCTCACATTGAAATTTACGATATTTTATTACTTTATGGAATTTCATAAGACTATCGATAATTATCGATAACTTGTCAATGCTATATTATGACCAAATCAAACTTTTTAGTGCTCTAAGCATAGAATATGAATCGATAAAATATCGATAGCTTTTCTAAACTCATGAAATGCATAATTCTTCTAAATAGACAACATTACATTACTCTAAGCAATGTGGCAACTCTCTGCAACCAGCTCACCCCTAATGAACGAGTCAGCTAAGGGTGGCCACTGCACTTTGTCATCCTTATTTCCCGGTGCTTAATCGAGTTTGGACACGTCAAGTAGGCAAATTGGGCAACTCTCAGCAACGCGGCCCACCCTCACTCCAGCAGGCGGTCGATCAACCCTTAAACAGTGCTCAGTGCACTCACTTATCGATAGACAACAACAACAAATGCAAGTGAAACAGAAACCGGATGAAACAAACGCAAGATGAAGCAGGAACCCCCACGTAGTCGCCCAGTTGGCAATTAGCCAAAGGAAATCGTGTTTACAGCAAAGTTCTGCGCCCTTGTTTACAAATGCGAATGACGCTCAATGCCTGAAGAGGTTCTTATGCAACACTTTTGATTCAATTTGTCAATAAGGAATCGGTCGGGCGGTTCAATGAGCTTTAAGCTGTGATTTGAGGGGCACTTACGTTGTACTACCATTATTTCTATTGGAAATTATATGGCATATGTTAAATGGTAGCTCCTAGTCCAACTGCTTCTCCTTTGTGTTATCGATAGTTTTCTAGCTTATTTCAATCGGCGCTAGATTTAAGTCTTGCGTCACGATAAGTTAGCTATGAAATATTTCCATAAATATATATTTTATAATATTATTTATAAGTTAGCTATGAAATATTTCCACAAATATATATTTTATAATATTATTTATATTGTCCAAGGACTTTATTTTTATTATCAATTCTTGTCATGCTTTTCGTAGTGCTCGAAATATTTTATAAAATAAATTTGAAATTTATTTAACACATTCAAAAACAAATATATGTATATATATATTACGAAAATATTTGTTTTTGAATATACTTTCATATAAATAAGCCATATATATTTTTTAATAATATTATAAAATAATTCTTGCAATATATTGTAGCATAATTTTATATATTATTATTATTATTATTATTATTATTATTATTATTATTATTATTAT